CCCGCCCGGACGCAAACAGATCCACCTGGAACGACCGTGCACAACTGGGAGATAACTCCGAATATCTGCGCCGAATCCACTCTGGGAGTACCTGGCAATCGCGCACTGGTCGCACAAGAGGAGAAAGTCCCACGCCTCCCGAAGGAGCTCTCGGGACACCGAGCCTCCTTGCTTCAGGATGTACGACATGGCCGTCCGGTTGTCCAACTGAAGATGAACCACCTGGCCCTGGACATGCTCTCGGAAGCGCTCGAAAACCAACCGCACAGCTCTCAGTTCCAACACGTTGATGTGAAGTCCGGGCACCGACAGACTGCCCAGAACACCCCCCCAGCCCGTTAGGGACGCATCGGTCTGAACTGTAAGAGCTGGCGTCGGGATCTCCAAAGGGACCCCCTTGGAGAGATTCCCGACATTGGTCCACCACTGAAGGTGAGGAGACAACCACCCGGGGACTGTGAGACTCCGCTCCAGGTCCTCCGAGTGAGCCCACAGACTCGCCAAAGCTTGCTGTATAGGGCGCATCCTCAAACGCGCCCGCCACACTACAGAGATAGTCGCCGCCATATGGCCCAGTAGACAGAGCCAAGTCCGTGCTGGTGCCTGGGGCTGGGAGAGGAACGAAGACACCATCTCCCGTACTCTGGTGATCCGGTCGGGCGACAAGGAAACAAGATCCTTGTGAGTTTGGAACCTCGCCCCGAGAAAAACCAAGTCCTGGGTGGGTACCAGGTCAGATTTCTTGAGGTTGATGATCCACCCCAGTCGTACTAGAATGTCTATCACCTTGTGAGTAGAATCTAGGCTCGCTGGCTGTGTTAGCGCTCCGAGCAACCAGTCGTCGAGGTAAGGGTAACAACGCCTTCCTTGCGATCGAGCGAGGGTAGCCGGCACTAACATGAGCTTGGTGAACACCCTGGGGGCAGTGGATATGCCGAAGGGGAGCACCGTGAATTGGTAATTCATCCCGTCGTAAGAGAACCGAAGGTACTGCTTGAACGATGGATGTATGGGCACATGTAGATACACATCCTTTAGGTCAATTGACGTGAGCCAATCGCCGGGCTGAACAGAGGAGATCACCGAGCGCAGTGTCTCCATCTTGAAGGATGGAACCTCTAGCATGCGATTCAACCCCTTGAGGTTGAGAATGGGACGGAACCCGCCGTCTTTCTTCGGAACGAGGAAGTACGTGGAATAAAATCCCGCCTGTTCCTCGCCCGGTGGTATGCGCTCTATAGCAGACTTGTCCAGCAAAGCCTGGACTTTCGTCGCGCAGTATGTCCGCCCGTACCTGACATGACGGCACCGGAGTGCGGCGGATGCCGGTGAAGTCTGGTGGACCTCGCTTCCACAGTGGTAGATGGCCTACACTGACGGTGGACAGCACCCAAGTGTTGCTTGTAGCCTTCTCCCACTCCGGCAGGAATAGAGAGAGGCGGTCTCCCACTGGGACGTTGGGTAAGAGTGCGTGAGTGGTCCCGAGTAACGGAGCTGACTGGGATGGACACACGTCTACAGCCGGTTGGGTTAACGGGAGGTCGCGCCCGCGAAAGGCTGGGAGCCAGCCGAAGAGGACTGCTCCTTGACCTTACCGTTGGCGGGATGGCTCCTCCGCCTACCCCTGCCCAGCGGCCGAAGCCAGCCAGCAGATTCGGGTGTAGGCTGCACCCTGGAGGAGGAAGCCGGAACGGGAGAGCGGGGGCGACAAGCCCGCGGTTGCTCCAACAAGGCCTTAGAGTCCTTGAAGGAGGTAGCTGCAGCGGCAGCCTCCCGGATGACCTGCTGTGCCCCAGGAAACAACGTCGCTCCCAGACGGTAGGGGAGGGCCAGCAAGGTCTGCTGTGTAGCTGCCAAGTACTGAGACATCGACAGCCACAGCTTGCGCATCCCCATGACTGCGCACATCACCGGAGACGCGGCCGACCGCAAGGAGTCGCACGCGAGGTGGGCCTGCACTTTGGAAAGTTGATGGAGGAGAACGACATGCTGAGAAACATCTCCAGCGTGCCCCTCCGCCTCCAGGGCCGACCTCTGAATCGAGGAGAGGTAGGCCTCGTGGACCACCACCCGCACCTGCTGCATAGCATTCCGGTAAACCTCCTCGTAGGTCCGGTAAGCTTGCCGCAGGGGAAAAGGTGGCGTCAAATGCCCTTGCCTGGCAGCCGGAGCTGCTCTGGAGGAAGCCGAGCCTCCCCCCAGGGCGACCGAAGTGAAAACACATTCGTCGACCACTGGCACGAAGAACAGGGAATCGTCCCCCAGCTGGTACCGCTTGACAAGCTCTGGCAAGTCAAAGCGGAGGCGTGACCCAGCCAGGAGGGGATCCACCACATCCTGCACCAAGGACGGCAGAATGCGGAGCAGCGTCTGCGTGGGTTGCCTAGGGGCAAACGCCTCGCCTGGTAAGCGGAACTCAGTCGAATCCGAGCGGCTGGTAGGCACCGCGGCCTGGGGAATATACTCAGCAATGCGTTGCCAGACTTCCCTCAGAGCCGGCGAGAAACGGAAGGCACCCTCCGGGTCCTCGACCTCCCCAATGTCCATGGACTCGGCGCCCGAACCCGAGTCCGAGGCTGGGTCTCCTCACGAGGAGGACCCGAACCCCGACTCGGTGGGCGGCCGCGCACCAGACACAGAGGGAAGGGAAGAACCGAAGCAGCGCCCCGCTTCAGTACCTGACACCATGCTCGAACTCCGGTCCCGAGACGCAGGAGGAAGACCAGGCAAAACTGGTTCCTCCGCTCTGGTTCCTCCCCTGCTCCGAGTGGGCGAGGAACTCCTGGCGGAGACCTCAAACCGACTCGTGAACAAGGGACTTCTCCGAGTCCATGTGCTGCTGGAATAATTGCATGATTGCATTCCCGCCATGGAATAGCAACACGTGGCGTAAACCACGGGAAAGTTAGCGTAAAATAATTAATACAAAGTCACAATTATGAGACAACCGACCGCAAACTTTACTGTTCCTTTCAAGGACAAAATAAAGACCATACATACAGGTGGAGGCGTCCCAGACATTATTCTCTTAAACTTCGAAAGATTGAAGGAGTTCAGCTCTGCCCGACACATCCGTACATGGCAGTGACAGCAGAAGGAATAATGATACGGGCCTAGGTGCTTACCCAGTTGGTGCGCATGCGCAACGGGAGGTAACTCCACAAGGTGGGGGCCGTATAATAAATAAAAAAAATTTATTTATTGTACAATATTTTTATTAAAAAACATTGATACAACTGTCACAGGACATTTTCAGCGCAGAAAATGCATATATGTACCCCAAGGACGATCTCTCTGAAAAAGAATGAGGAATCTGCACATGGTGAATAATAGCTGAGCCGAGACACACACACGCGCACGCACGCACGCACGCACGCACACACACACACACACACACACACTGCGACTCGCCCACAGTGCTCGCTCAGTACTACCGACACAGCAGCGAGGCGACCCGGGGGGAACTGCCGAGAGCTGCGGTATGATTTAGTGGAAATAAACATAACGTAGCTAGCCAGCCAGCCAGCCAGCCAGCCTGGTCAGCTGTACAAGCCGAGCCGAGACACACACACTGCGACTAGCTCACAGCACTCGCTCGGTGCTACCGAGACGGCAGCGAGGCAACCCGGGGGGACTGCCAAGAGCTGCGGTATGATTTAGCTTCAGGCAGCTCTCATCTCGATACTTTATAACAATTACGTAAATACGTTGGATAGTTAGCCTTTCGGTGGACAGACCCCATGCTCACTAAAAAGTGATTATTTCCTAAACTATTCAACATATTTTCAAAAAAATTTGCATGCATTTCAGCAGTTGTTTACACTATAGCAGACCGGAATTTAGGACACTCTCAATTACTTCATTAGGTCAATTAAGACTTAATTACGACAATACCTTGAACATTTAGCCTTTTGACAGATGGACCCCATGCTCACTTAACAGTCAATATTTACCAAACCGTTGCACCGATTTCCGTGAAATTTTGCATGTACCTCCACCAGTAGTATACACAATGGTGGAACAGGATTAGGGACTTACCAAGGTCTCGTTCCACCGTTGTGTATACTACTACACTTGACATTTCCTGCAATGGTAACCTTCTGACTGATACAGTATACATATAGGCCAATATACCGGAACCGCATTTTCAGATACTTTATGCAGATTAAACTATGAAGATCCATTCAAGCAGCAGAACCATTTTTAACTAGTGTCCAATCAGCTTGTTCAACTTTTTAGTCATATCACTACCCGAGTCTACATTCAGTTATCTGAGTGCTGCTGAAGTCAATGATAATCTGCCACTTGTCATGACAAATCATGTACATAGAACTCTCCTGGTCAATCGAGCTCAATGCCAGTGCACAAAACTACATTGAGAGTGTTGTTGAATGAAATAAAACTGAAACTGTTGTGAATAAACCTGTATGTTTGCTTACTCGTCCTGAAAATCAATGGTAATGCTGCGACAGAAATGGTGCAAAATGAAGTTGCCAGACATTTTCATGTTCATAAAAACACAATATTGTCTCTTTGGAGATATGTTTTACAGCATACAGGCTTGTCATTCACATGAAACAGCACATAAACTTACATTCCTTGATGACTCAATAATTCTGCTTGAACAGATCAAAATAAAGTATCCTTCTGTTTGATAATAGAGTCAATGTTACTGCCTGTTTATGAGAAATTATCTGTAAAATCAAATATTTTTTCAATATCCACTGAAACCATTATAGTAATTTCTGCATGTTATCTGATTATAGTAATTAGCATGGTTACAATACTATATATCCTCTGTAGTCTGGTGGATATAGCCAGAAGACCTTTAGGTCAGCAGCTTCACGATTGTGTTGTAAGGTAATGTTACCTCACCTCACCTTACATAAATTATTGTCCAATTTTTAAAGCATGCCAACTTCAATTTCTTTTTGATTTTATTCAATTTCTTTATGAAGTGTCTATTCATGTCTAAGATACTTTTACATTCAAAAACTTACCAGGTGCAAGAGAACTCGCATGGCTTCCCGACACTGGGTGGGAGACTGGAGAATCTCACATACAGCATGTCCCATCAATGCAATCTTGCTACTGAGACACACATCACTACCCACCAATACCCAGCCACCCCAGTTAGAGGGGTGAGAGAACTGTTTTGTGCACTGAACAGTTTTCACAGCTTTAGCAAGAGCCTGAGTTACTCTCTTATTGTCTTCTAATGCTGTGTAGAAAATGCGCATCAATAACTTTGATGCCTGGTCTGGTACTGGCCATAATGAAAACAACACACACTGGGCTCCTGCTGAAAGTAAGGCACGTGTCAGGCCAATCACACCATCTGTGTTGACTCGCCCTGCTCTGTCATCAGTATAGCCAGAGTTCAACACCACTAGTTTTGCATGGAGTTTCAGATTCAGAATGTCTGCTGCTGTGAGAAGGTAATCTGACAATGGAGGACCTTCTAATGAGTCAAATTCACTACCACTATTTTCTTGGGACTTGATAGTTTGATACCTGCCTCCTGATGAAACCAATTCAGTTGGTGACAGTACAATAGATGAAAGTTTCCATGAGATGTGGGTGGCAAAGTGGATCACCTCAACTTGCTCTATTTGGTGCAAAACAGCACCCTTTGTAGCTTCTACACCAATGAGTGGACGACACGACAACAACTCACCAACAATCCTCGACTCATACTCTGCTCCGGGAATCTCATGAAGATGCCAGTGCTGACTAATGTTCGAATTTAGTTTTGGATTGCCAACAACCAAAGCACCTGATGAATCTATCATTGGTCGCCCCTGGCGGTCAAGTTTTTGTGTGTTGGAAAGAGCACTGATAGATGGAACAATTATCAAATTATAACGTTCAAATAAATAATCTTCAGCCTGTTCCTTCCGCAACATCAGAAAAGGAACCAGGTACAGGTCACCTTGAAGCACAAGAATCAGATCAATAGGATCCGAAAAATCTTGGCTTAAATTTGCCAGTGTTTCTTCCATTGGTCCCAAAAGGAAACTATACAAGGCTGAAAGAGGAGAACGACCTCCAATAATGTGTTTTGAATTCCCTCTGTAAGATGGGAAGTTAGTGTTTACAGTTCCACCAGCACCACTGGAAAGGCTGAAAATACTGTTGATACTGTATGTTGATGTATTAAAAGAATGGCCTCTGTTAACCATTCGTAGAAATCCTGTGCGATCATTTTCAGCAATCAGGCGGTCACCGATTTCCTCCAACTGAAGCTGGAATACATCATCAGTCTCACTTTCTGATCCACTCTGGTTCTCCATGCTGTGTCTTGCACCTCTACAAAATCAAAGAGAGGTGCTTGGAACTTTCAGTAAGCTAAACAATACCGATGTACACACAAGGCCAAATATTGATAAACTTTCTAATGTACCTATTTCAAATTTCCTATCAAGGTTCATCGCATATACTTGTTGATGTCAATGTTTATTAGTACATAAGATATAAACTTTTACACCAGTTTCTTAAAGTTCTTTGCCTGAATAATCATCTGCTTCATCAAAGTACATGGAACTTTGAATTATTTTTTTAATGTTTTAATTGTTAAAACAAAAATGAACACAAAACAAGTACCAGTACTTCAGGTAGTTTTTTTCCAGAAAGAGTGTTTTCAATATCTACCAGACACTGTAATCTAAATCTCATCCCAAACCAATTGTTTCTGGACATTTAATGAATAACGACATCTTGCAATTGGATATTCCTTAACAAGTCAAATGGTTTGTAGAGGTCCATGGAAGTGATATTGACAAATTCTTTAAGAATGTTATGAAGTCTAAAACTAAAACATTATAGAAACAAGGGAAAAAGAAAAGCTATCTGATTTTTCTGTTGTTATTTCTAATGAGGTCTAGTGTCGGAAATAGTATGACAATATACACTGCCACATAACAATATGTATTGCATTGTGTCCTGGCCCTTGAGACTGACCTAGCAGCAGGTACACCCACACACTAAGCTATCTAAAAGGTATCTAGATGGTGTACTATATACAGGAGTAGTACTTTTGTCTTGAGTCTGGAGTAAACAAGATTCTCTAGATACAAGGAAGCAATAAAGGTGAACTTGGGTTCTTTGCAACCTCGGTGTGAGTCAATGTATTTAACCAAGAATGTTTCTTACAATATATACTGACTCTAAGTAAATGCCATGGGTTTGACATATTACATATTACCACCTTCATAAATTTAGATAAAATCCTAAATAACTTGAAAATTTTATAATAAATTGTATATCCATATACTTATCCTATCTCACGGTATGCACCATCTCTCTCTTCTAAGACCATGTGTGGAAACGTGCTGTCAGCTAAGTTGAGTCAAATCTAACTGGCCTCTGACCTGCCCTGACCTCTGCCCTCACCCCGACATCAACGCCTATCAATCATCCACCAAAGCGTGCAGCTCGCCTAAATGATCACAGGACTACCTCTTACCTGTCATTCTCGTCTTGGAGTTTCCAGTAATCTGTGATGTGGGGCAGGTTGGGTGGGTCCTATCTCGTGAGATAGGATAAGTATATAAATATACAATTAGTTATAAAATTTTCAAATTTTTAAACTTATCCTATCTCACGGTATGCATAATCCCACGGTTGGTAGGCGGGTCGCAGATTACCCCGTTACTACTACCACCGGGAAAAACACATAACCCAAGGAGGCCAGGAGAAAGCACCAACTCCCGATATGCAAACTCCAAACTTGAGATGGGTTTCTTCAGGTAACCCCTTGGCTTACACAGCACAAAAACTCTAGGGAGTGGGCGCTCCTGAATTAATGTGGTTTTCAGCCACAACTTTTGACAAGCAAAAGGACGCAGTTTGGCAAGTAGGCCCCGCCCCCGCCGCCCCACGATTTATCAGGTGACCCCAGTGAATTAAAGTCAAGGACCTTAATCTCGCCAGTCACTGCTTCGAAACTACTCCCCACAGACACACGCTGGAAGGCGATGAAAGAGGGAATAGCTCGGTTGCTCAACTAGATTGACGTTCAGTACCAATCACCCTAACTTACCAAAAGTGAGAAAGGACTTAGGAGCAGAACGCTTCGAAAACCACACAGGTAATCGGAATCAACACTTCACTGACGTGATTGCTCAAAGAATAGAGGTCAGTAAGTGGAATGTCAACCATCTCTGCATGTAGTATAGGACTTGCCTCATAGTCTTCTCGCCATGGATGACACAAGAGCTCGGGTGTCATGAGGCTTGGCCGTTGCTGGTGGAGGTAGGTCAGCAAAGGTGTAGGCATGCAGGATCGTAGTTCTCATCCAAAAAGCCAAGGTAGTACGGGAGACTTCCGAGGTGGAGGCAGTAGATATAGGGATGAACAGTCTCTTACGTAGTCTTCGACGATCCTGCGAGGCAGCTAGATAAATCCTCAATGCTCGAACTGGGCATAAGGAAAGATCATCAGTGTCTTCTAGGCCCAAGATGGTAGACAATGGTGGGATTGTGATTTGCAATCCGGCTGTCCTGGTAACTGATTCTTGGCAAGGAAATCCCACTCTCACATGTCTAGACCTTCCAAACCGTACCCGAGAAACATCAAGAGCATGCAACCCGGAGATACGGGCAGCTGCAGCCAAGACCAAGAGAAAAGATCTTAAAGGAGACATGTTCGAAATCTTCTCCTCCAGAGGTTCATATTCAGCTGACGTGAGATGAACAAGTACAACGGAGATATCCCAAGCTGTAGGCCGGAACTTCCAGGATTGGTCAGCCAATTTGAAAGACCTAGGAGAGACTGGAGTTCAGGGACAGTGGAAATCTTCACACCCGAGGCCGTTGCAATAACCATGTTAAGAGCAGCCAGGTAGGTAGACAGTGTAGAACCTCTGAGTTCCCTGGAGGTTCGGAGATGCTGAAGATAATCTGCCACCATCTGCGGGGATGCCGTAGTGGGGGATGAGATGCCCTTCTTCCTGCAGTATGCTTAAAACTTTCCCACTTGTCCTCGTAGTGTGACCTTGTAGAAGTACGATGCGCTGTTGTAATGGCAGTAGCAACCCGCTTCGAATAAACTTTAGCCGTTAAGGATTGATGTAGATGCGCCATATGTGCAGATGGAGCGTCAACAGGGACCAATGTAGTTGGTGGGAGTGCGGATGAACCAGTAGATCGGGTCGATCGGGAAGCAGTACAGGATCTGGTTCAGCTAGGTCTTGAAGATTTACGAACCAACTTCTGGCAGGTCAGTAAGGCGCGACCAAAGTAGAGTCAACCTCTGTGTTGCGCACAGTTCCCTAGAATGCGAGGAAGAAGGGCCACTGGCGGAAAAGGTCTTCCCACGGGATGGCTAGAGCAAAGAGGTCCTAAGCCAAAAGGTCCGATATCGGTGACACAAACCAAAGCAGCTGATGGTTAAACCTATGGCGAAGAGGTCTACTGTCGGAGAAGTCATTGGAAGGCAGAAGGTCTGAAACACCTGAGGATGTAATTTCCATTCCGTTGGAGAAGGACGACTCGGTCAGGACAGGGCATCTACGATGACATTCTTCATCCCCGGAAAGTGGTTGGCTCATATCATGATGTTGAGAAAGTCCACCAGATCCAAGAACTGTTGAGTCCTCTGTAGAAGCTGTGGAGACCCCGTTGACCCCATTCTGTTGATATGCCAAACCACTGCTGTGTTGTCCGATCTGACCATGAGGGAAATTGCTCGTAGGACATGCTGCCAGTGACTGATTGCCAAAATCACCACCCTGAACTCCAGAATGTTGATGTAACAGGCGCGATCTATGATAGACCAAGCCCTGCCACTTGTTGACTGAGAAGATGAGCTCCCCACCCGTGTTGAGACACATCCACATACAGGTGGTGAGACAGAACAAACGGCTCTAAACAGACTCCGTCGCAAACGTTCAATTCTTCCATCCACTACTGAAGATGAGGATGGAGCTCCAGAGGTAGAGGGATCAGAGCACCGGGATCTCCCACTGTGATGTAAGTTGCCACAAAAAGGTGTATGGGACGATGTTGTAGTTGACCCCTGAGGGTCAATGCCTGAACAGACGTCAAAAGGCCCAGCAGCTCCTGTCATTGGCGAAGCGTCCTAGGTTGCACTGGTACCAGGAAAACCAACCGCTGTATCTTGCAGAAACGATCCCTCGGGACAAACAGTTTGTTGACCTCTGTGTCAAACACTGCTCCAATGAATTGAAGTCGGCGTGTAGGGACTAGTTTCAATTCCAGCCTAATTGGCGAGGAAGCTGTATCGCAAACTGCATGTGGCGAAGCAGAAGGGCATGATCGTTCTGTGCCTGAATACAGTCGTCGATGTAAGCTTCGAACACTATCCCCTTGCAGGATAAGTTCTTCAATCCGGGAGTAAAGTGACAGGAGGATCCCCGATGACCAGCCTAATTGGCGAAGAAGCTGTATCGCAAACTGCATGTGGCGAAGCAGAAGGGCATGATCGTTCTGTGCCTGAATACAGTCGTCGATGTAAGCTTCGAACACTATCCCCTTGCAGGATAAGTTCTTCAATCTGGGAGTAAAGTGACAGGAGGATCCCCGATGACTGGCAGCTGGAACCCCTTGGATAACATGGAGAGGACGTTTACTTGGTTCATAGCTTAAGGCCTCAGTTCAGAGGTCACTGCAGCTGTATCTGGACAGTTAATAAGCATCGATGTTACTACCTTCGTCTCTATTACGAACGTTGCTTGGGACACTGGTCTTTACCTTTGCCTTTCCATTAACTATACGAATGTACCGTTAGACTGACGATCCCATGCATCTCATCTATTAATTTCAATACCATTTCGCCGCTCCTACAGTATTCACCGAACCGAATGTGTTCGTTGAACTGTCAACATTCGCCGAATCATCTGGTATCTCCATGCGCCTAGCTACTGTCATCATGAATTACTTGCTAATCCACGCATTCTGTTCGGTACTTCAGAGAGTACCTTGCTGTCCATTCACCACTTTGTACCAATGCATTGCTCTCACAAAGGGAAGAAGGGACCAGTGCATTGTCTCACTTCAGTTCACCGCTCTCGTTAGACCGATGCGCCGCATTTGATTAGATGAGCACTTCAGCCCAGTGCGCCCTTTCGATTGGAACAACGGATCATCTATCCAATCCAGATCGTTGAACCAACTTAGAGCGCAGAACCGATCCTGATCACCGAACCATACCAAATGGTTTGAAATTGTTCTTGCAATAGAACCATAGCCGCTCGAATGTGCGCTTGCTGATGGGACACTGCGAGTGCACCCGACATCGCCATCGCTCCAGTAGTTGTCAACACCATGTTGAGTTGAGCCATATTTCTCCTTATGGCACCATCTAAATGCAAACGCTGACGATCCTCGACCAGGAATGGCGAATTCATCGTTGCCTCAAGGGGGCGTGTCTCAGTCGGCTGGGTGTTCGTTCTGTGCGTGAGGTGCCTTGTCATTTCTCAAGGTCTACTCCGGTTCGTCTGTCCTATATTCAACAGTATCAATGTCGAGACCTATTTTACCGGTATCCTGGAATCAGGTGTCTGATGGGGCGATTTGTCAGCCTGTTGACTTTGATGCCTTGTGTTATCAGTGGCGTCAGCGTACGGCATGAGCGCCAGTATCCTCCTCTGTTAATCAGTCATCGAGACCTGCGACTACTCCAGTTCTACCTTTAGAGGAGGTTCATCGTTCAACGACGTCGTTTCTATCTTCGGATGGTAGCATGGATGTTGTTGACACACCTTAACTACTCGTCAGGTTTGCCGATAACCTCCGTATACAGCGTAGTACTTCCGTCGGGGGATTTATTATCCATTTGATATGAAGCCAGGTAATTTTGGTTCCATCACGTTCCCACCTCGACCGTGTATCACTCAATTGGCAGCGTCTCTGGATAAGGCTTTTGGTAACTTTGGCTTTTTTATGTCCCCCTTCCAGTGGATGATAATATCACGTTGTTGGGAACTAAACAGAAAGCCTAGATGAAGGATCCCATGCACTGAACTGCAGAGCTGAACTGAGTGGACCTAGCGCCGAAGTCGACACCTGGCAGTAAGCGCTGAAACCTGAGGAAGCGTTGTACCATGAGTCAATACAGAAGCCAGTGAACTATGAGGCAGCACCGAACCGGGAACACCATGAGGAAGCGCTGAACCTGGAGCACCATGAGTGAGCGTCGAACCAGGAACCCCAGGAGTAAGCGTTGAACCAGTAATACTGTAGTTAAGCGCTGAACCAGGAAGACTGTGAGTGAGCGCTGAACTAAAAGCACCGTGATGAAGCGTCGAACCGGGAACACCGGGAGCGCCGAACCAAAGTCAATATGAGTAAGCGCCAAACCGGGAGTCCAGGAGGAAAAGCCGAACTAGGAGCGCCAGGAGGAAGCGCCAAGCCAGCAACACCGGGAGAAAGCGCCTAACCAGGAACACTGGGAGGAAACGCCGAACATGGAGGAAGTGCCGAACCGGGAGGAAGCGCCGAACCAGGAACACTGGGAGAAGCACCGAACCAGGAATACTGGGAGAAGCGCCGAACCAGGACACTGGTAGGAAGCGCCGAACCAGGAACACTGGTAGGAAGCGCCGAACTGGGAATAAGCTCCGAACCAGGAATACTGGGAGAAGCGCCGAACCAGGAGGAAGCGCCGAACCGGGAGTAAGCACCGAACGAGGAACCCTGGGAGGAAGCATCGAACCAGGAACACTGGGAGGAAGAACCAGGAACACTGGGAGGAAGAACCAGGAACACTGGGAGGAAGAACCAGGAACACTGGGAGGAAGAACCAGGAACACTGGGAGGAAGCATCGAACCAGGAACACTGGGAGGAAGAACCAGGAACACTGGGAGGAAGCGCCGAACCAGGAACACTGGGAGGAAGCGTCGAACCAGGAACACTGGGAGGAAGCACCGAACCAGGAACACTGGGAGGAAGCGCCGAACCAGGCACAAGCGTCGAACTGGAACCAAACAAGAGCGCCGAACTGGAAGTAAGCGGCGCTCTGACCAAAGATATGGGATCCGTGACAATCGGCCCTCTAATTGTAGATAACTGTCCTGATGTAAGCGTTGCTTCAAAAGTAAGCGGCGCACTGGTAGGAAAACGCCGAACTGAAAGTAAACGTCACTTGTGTCACTTGGAATCAGTGACAAGCGGCGCTCCAAATGTAGGTAACTCCTGATGTAAGCGTCGAACTGGAAGTAAACGTCACTTGTGATGTAATGTTAGGAATCACAATAAGCGCCGCATGAGTAGTCCCCACCTCCGAAACGTAAAGGCGCTGAGGAACATTCACCACCAAAGACGGCCGGGATGAATACCAGACATAGATAACACAACAACTCGTGGTGGTGAAGAATCTTCTAGAGTAATGAGGCTATAAGAATGCAGACGGAAGAGTTGACGCAGATTTTCACTGAGGTAGGAATCAGACGCCTCTTTAAGAAATCTTCATTAGGAGACTTCAACTTCGAACGTCTTACTGCAGATATCAAACAGTGATCTAACTTAGGACGTTTACTACTCAGACCCTCAGATGGATTCCGAAAATCTCTGTCAAACTTGCATCTACAAGCTACGCAGTGATATTCGGAAAACGCGTCGTCGTCACGGTTTGCACACAAAGTGCAACGTCTAGACCATTCACACCGGCCTAAACAGTCAACACATAGGTTATTTTGGTCTGCCGCCGAGAAATTACTGTTGCAGTTATCGCAATGTTTGCGTTTATTAGAACCATAACGATTCGATTTTCCCATTGTAGAAACACAATCAAACTCTCTTATAGACAAACATACGTCCACACAACGTGGCGACAAGAAAGAGAATGACAGGTAGAGGTGGTCATGTGATCATTTGGGCGAGCCACACGCTTTGGTGGATGATTGACAGGTGTTGATGTCGGGGTGAAAGCAGAGGTCAGGGCGGGTCAGAGGCCAGTTAGATTTGACTCAACTTAGCTGACAGCACTTTTCCACACATGGTCGTAGAAGAGAGAGATGGTGCATACCGTGAGATAGGATAAGTTTAAAAATATTTGTTTATTGAAATACCTCATGCTGACGCTATCTGGCTGTATGTGACTGTCAACTCCAATGGCTTCTCGCATCTGTCCCACACAGTTTTCTAATATGGAGGCTGTTGTGAAGCTCAAAACACTTTGGCTGTCTCCTGCCATTGGATCTACATCTGCTTCCAACTCACTTAGAGACATCTTTTCAAACTGGACCAAACCTACAACAATACAGAAATCAGTTTAACATTGCTTTGCAGCAATTATGGAAGCATAAATTTTGCACCATTATCAACATGATAATAATTCTTATAATACTACCTGTAACATTTGATTGCCTTTTTTCCTAAAACTAGATTCCGAATCCACAGTTTTAGCTTGAATAAATTAAAAGTCTGTGGTGTTGTGCTGTTGTCTTTCATCTTTATGGTCCTGAAAGACGCATGTGCTTACTACTTATTTTCTGAAATCTCTGTTCAAGAATAATATGCAGCACCAAGTTTTCAACTCAGTTAAGTAAATGTAACTCAGTAAAAATCTATCCCCATTTCATAAAATATGCACTAAGCTGATAAGCCCCAAGAGAGGACAATAACTCTGTACAAAATTAACTGACATGAGTTTTCAAACTGACATGACATCAGTGAGTAGAATTTCACTTCTCTAAATTAGATTGTGTTTTGGTGGACCACCAGGGGAAATACCTACTGTAGATTGTGTTTTGGTGGACCACCAGGGGAAATAGCTACTGTAGATTGTGTTTTGGTGGACCACCAGGGGAAATAGCTATTGTAGATGGTGTTTTGGTGGGTCACAATGGAAAATAGCTACTGTAGATTTTGTTTTGGTGGACCACATGGGGAAATAGCTACTGTAGATTGTGTTTTGGTTGATCACCAGGGGAAATAGCTACTGTAGACTGTTTTGGTGGGCAACAATGGAAAAAAGCTACTGTAGATTGTGTTTTGGTGGACCACCAGGGGAAATAGCTATTGTAGATGGTGTTTTGGTGGGTCACAATGGAAAATAGCTACTGTAGATTTTGTTTTGGTGGACCACCAGGGGAAATAGCTACTGTAGATTGTGTTTTGGTTGATCACCAGGGGAAATAGCTACTGTAGACTGTTTTGGTGGGCCACCAGGGGAAAATAGCTACTGTAGATTGTGTTTTGGTGGGCCACAATGAAAATAGCTACTGTAGATTGTGTTTTGGTGGACCACCAGGGAAAATAGCTACGGTAGATTGTGTTTTGGTGGACCACAAGGAAAATAGCTACTGTAGATTGTGTTTTGGTGGACCACAAGGGGAAAATAGCTACTGTAGATTGTGTTTTGGTGGACCACCAGGGAAAATAGCTACTGTAGACTGTGTTTTTGTGGGCCACAATGGAAAATAGCTACTGTAGACTGTGTTTTTGTGGGCCACAATGGAAAATAGCTACTGTAGATTGTGTTTTGGTGGACCACAAGGGGAAATAGCTACTGTAGATTGTGTTTTGGTGGACCACCAGGGAAAATAGCTACTGTAGATTGTGTTTTGGTGGACCACCAGGGAAAATAGCTATGGTAGCTTGTGTTTTGTGGACCACAATGGAAAATAGCTACTGTAGATTGTGTTTTGGTGGACCACCAGGGAAATAGCTATCACAGATTGTGTTTTGGTGGACCACAATGGAAAATAGCTACTGTAGATTGTGTTTTGGTGGACCACCAGGAGAAATAGCTACTGTAGATTGTGTTTTGGTGAACCACAATGGAAAATAGCTACTGTAGATTGTGTTTTGGTGGACCACCAGGGGAAATAGCTATTGTAGATTGTGTTTTGGTGGACCACAATGAAAATAGCTACTGTAGATTGTGTTTTTTAGTGGACCACCAGGGGAAATAGCTACTGTAGATTGTGTTTTGGTGGACCACAAGGGGAAATAGCCGCTGTCGATTGTGTTTTGGTGGACCACAATGGAAAATAGCTACTGTAGATTGTGTTTTGGTGGACCATCGGGGAAAATAGCTACTGTAGATTGTGTTTTGGTGGACCACAATGGAAAATAGCTACTGTAGATTGTGTTTTGGTGGACCAAATGGAAAATAGCTACTGTAGATTGTGTTTTGTGGACCACAATGGAAAATAGCTACTGTAGATTGTGTTTTGGTGGACCACAAGGGGAAATAGCTACTGTAGATTGTGTTTTGGTGGGCCACAATGGAAAATAGCTACTGTAGATTGTGTTTTGGTGGGCCACAATGAAAATAGTTACTGTAGATTTTGTTTTGGTGGACCACAAGGGGAAATAGCTACTGTAGATTGTGTTTTGGTGGACCACAAGGGGAAATAGCTACGGTAGATTGTGTTTGGGTGGACCACCAGGGAAAATAGCTACTGTAGACTGTGTTTTGATGGGCCACAATGGAAAATAGCTATGGTAGATTGTGTTTTGGTGGGCCACAATGGAAAACAGCCACTGTAGATTTTGTTTTGGTGGACCACAAGGGGAAATAGCTACTGTAGATTGTGTTTTGGTGGGCCACAAGGGGAAATAGCTACTGTAGACTGTGTTTTGGTGGACCACCAGGGGAAATAGCTACTGTAGATTGTGTTTTGGTGGACCACAAGGGAAAATAGCTACTGTAGATTGTGTTTTGGTGGACCACCAGGGGAAATAGCTACTGTAGATTGTGTTTTCGTGGACCATCGGGGAAAATAGCTACTGTAGATTGTGTTTTTGTGGGCCACAATGGAAAATAACTACTGTAGATTGTGTTTTGGTGGACCACAAGGGGAAATAGCTACGGTAGATTGTGTTTTGGTGGACCACCAGGGGAAATAGCTACGGTAGATTGTGTTTGGGTGGAGCACCAGGGAAAATAGCTACTGTAGACTGTGTTTTGATGGGCCACAAGGGAAAATAGCTACTGTAGATTGTGTTTTGGTGGACCACCAGGGGAAATAGCTACTGTAGATTGTGTTTTGGTGGACCACCAGGGGAAATAGCTACTGTAGATTGTGTTTTGGTGGACCGGCGGGGAAAATAGCTACTGTAGATTGTGTTTTGGTGGACCACCAGGGGAAATAGCTACTGTAGATTGTGTTTTGGTGGGCCACAATGGAAAATAGCTACTGTAGATTGTGTTTTGGTGGACCACAATGGAAAATAGCTACTGTAGATTGTGTTTTGGTGGACCACCAGGGGAAATAGCTACTGTAGATTGTGTTTTGGTGGACCACCAGGGGAAATAGCTACTGTAGATTGTGTTTTGGTGGACCACAATGGAAAATAGCTAATGTAGATTGTGTTTTGGTGGACCACAAGGGGAAATAGCTACGGTAGATTGTGTTTTGGTGGACCACAATGGAAAATAGCTACTGTAGATTGTGTTCTGGTGGACCACCAGGGGAAATAGCTACTGTAGATTGTGTTTTGGTGGACCACCAGGGGAAATAGCTACTGTAGACTGTGTTTTGGTGGGTCACATTGGAAAATAGCTACTGTAGATTGTGTTTTGGTGGACCACCAGGGTAAATAGCTACTGTTGATTGTGTTTAGGTGGATCACCAGGGGAAATAGCTACGGTAGATTGTCTTTTGGTGGACCACCAGGGGAAATAGCTATGGTAGCTTGTTTTGGTGGACCACAATGGAAAATAGCTACTGTAGATTGTGTTTTGGTGGACCACCAGGGGAAATAGCTATCACACATTGTGTTTTGGTGGGCCACAATGGAAAATAGCTACTGTAGATTGTGTTTTGGTGGATCACCAGGGGAAATAGCTACTGTAGATTGTGTTTTGGTGGACCACCAGGGAAAATAGCTACTGTAGATTGTGTTTTGGTGGACCACCAGGGGAAATAGCTACTGTAGATTGTGTTTTGGTGGGCCACATTGGAAAATAGCTACTGTAGATTGTGTTTTGGTGGACCACAATGGAAAATAGCTACTGTAGATTGTGTTTTGGTGGACCACAAGGGGAAATAGCTACTGTAGATTGTGTTTTGGTGGACCACCAGGGGAAATAGCTACTGTAGATTGTGTTTTGGTGGACCATCGGGGAAAATAGCTACTGTAGATTGTGTTTTTGTGGGCCACAATGGAAAATAACTACTGTAGATTGTGTTTTGGTGGACCACAAGGGGAAATAGCTACGGTAGATTGTGTTTTGGTTGACCACCAGGGAAAATAGCTACTGTAGACTGTGTTTTGGTGGACCACCAGGAGAAATAGCTACTGTAGATTGTGTTTTGGTGAACCACAAGGGGAAATAGCTACTCTAGATTGTGTTTTGGTGGACCACAAGGGAAAATAGCTACTGTAGATTGTGTTTTGGTGGGCCACAATGGAAAATAGCTACTGTAGATTGTGTTTTGGTGGACCACCAGGGGAAATAGCTATGGTAGATTGTGTTTTGGTGGACCACAAGGGAAAATAGCTACTGTAGATTGTGTTTTGGTGGACCACAAGGGAAACTAGCTACTGTAAATTGTGTTTTGGTGGACCACAATGGGAAAATGTAATTTTCTAAATAAAATTGATATTTTATACTTATCCTGACTCATGCTCTTTTGCTTGTCTTCTTCTTCTTGCGAACATAGTGGAACACTTGTATCTCCCTAATTGAAGCTCCCTTCAATGTAAAATCACTAATTAGTACCCACCACGAGTTGCCTCCCTCTCCCAAAATGCGCGGGAACGGAGGCGCCACCTCTGCCCATATGCTTCACTCTCTCCTGTTTAACGAGCCCAACATTTGAATTTTCAGAGAAATCCAAAGTGTTATGTGGGGAGGATGGGAGGGTTTACCTCATGAGTCAGGATAAGTATAAAATATCAATTTTATTCAGAAAATTACATATTTTTCCTTATCCTGACTCATGCTCTTTTGCTTGTAGAATCCTACGGAAACGGAGGTAGGAAACAGAATACTTTGGATTTTAGTAATTAGTGATTTATATATGTAATAACCCCTACGGGAACTTCATAATGGCACTGTAATTCATATAATTCCTGCTGCTATAATACATAAGTTCTACCAGCTGCCATAGATGGGGTACTACAATATTTAGATATTATGATAATAATAATAATCATAATAATAATAATAATAATAATAATAATAAGTCGACTCCAAAGTGGAGAAGCGACCCCAATTGTACATGTAACACAAGTACTGGGCTTAAGACTAATGTAGGCTTAAGATATACATAAATAGCAACAAACTCCGTGGA